TCAAGTTGGAGATTTAAATAATCAAATCTCTTCTTTACAAAATGAAAATAGTAATTTGCGCAGTAAGAGCATTGATAATTATAGCACTTCATATGCCATCGGCGAATTTTGTTCAATTAATTTTGAGCCTTCTTATAGGAGTATAGGAAAATGTTACAGTAGTATTAAATGAAAAGAAAGTTCAAAAAAATTTGTTGCGGAAGGATACATATATGATGAAATGAATAGACACTATGTTAATTACACTGTTTGAAAAGTAATACACCTAGAAACAGTAGACATATTTGCAAGCACCCATAATTGAGTAGAATAACACCAAAAAATTGATCCATATTATAAAATTATGACACCGCAAGCAAAAAAACAATACATTCTCAACAATATTGATAAATATGTAGTAGATGGGAGAGGCAATTTTTTATTGAGAAACTGCTGAGGAAGATATGAGTTATATTTATAGAGATGGACTGCCAGAAGCATTTGAAATACTTTCGAAAATGAGTAAAAGAATTCTCCAAACCAAGGAAGACTGAGGATTAGACTTCCTTCAAGATGATATTCATAACCCTATTTTGCTTTATAAAAACAAAAAGGATGGAAGGGTTATGTATTCTCTATATATTTACGAAATCTATGGAAATAGTTTAATTGGAAAAAGTATTAATGATTATAAAGGAACTGATGAAGAAATATTGAAATTGTTAGAAAATCGAGGAATAATTAATGAAGAGCAAAAAAAAATTTTAGAGGGAATAAGAAAAAAATTCGAAGAGGAGAGAAAGGAAATAGAAGAAATATTAAGAAATTCAGAAAGAGAACACCAAGAAGACAAAAAAAACATAAAGCGGCAGGAGGAAAAAATGAAAAAGTGGCAAGAGGAAAGAGAAAAAAACAAAAAAACGCAACAACAAAAACTGCCTCAAAATGACAAAGAAGAAGATTCGGAAGAAAAAGAAAATCAAGACAGAGGTAACACTTCATCAGAAAAAGAATCAGATAAACCAGTTAATTCTCTTCTATCCACCCCCACTATCTACTCCCATTACAATTCCGATAAAGCCAAATCAGAAATAGAAAACAATCCTCAGTTAACTACTCCCAAACAAAGAAAACAAGCCCAAGCATTCTTAAAACTAATCATTGCTGCCGAACTATTAGTTAAAGAGAAGAAGTTTAACCAACAAATTTTATCACAACTAGCGAAAGAAAAACAAGAAAATACAATATTTTATCAGCTCTCAAACAAAGAAAACAGAGTGGATAAAGTAGTTAATCAGTTAGAGAAGACAAAAAAATCTCACAAAAAAGCAAATCCAACAGCAGGAGTTAATAAACAATCCATTTCCTTGCCTACCAAAATATTTCTGGGAATAGTGATAAGTAGTATGGCGCTAGGAGTTATAATTATATCGTTGCGGGTAATTAAAAGGAAGAAAATTAAAAAGATAGTTAAATCATAAAATCTTCATTATAAAAATGGGTGAAGAATTGATCGAAAATATTAAAAAAAAAATTAGTGAAAAGGAGGAAGAAATAAGAGGGGTTTGAGAAGAATTGAGGGCGGAAAAAGAAAGACCGAGGGAGGAAATTATTGAGGAACTAAAAGGGATTAAGCGCACCACTGGCCAGCATCCGGGTGGTCTTTTAATTACTTTGCCTAATACTGATATTCAAAAATATACCCCTTTAAATTACCCCGCTGACAATCGTCAATCGGAATGAATGACTACTCATTTTGAATATAGTTTTTTGTCGGAAATATTTCTCAAAGTTGACATTTTAGGACATGACGAACCCACCATCTTACATAAATTATTTCAATTGACTGGGGTTGACCCCAACAAAATATCTTTTCACGATGAAAATATAATGCAAATGTTTACTAATGCTGATACTTTAGGAATACCAGAATTTGGTACCGATTTTGTCAAAAGAAATTTATTAACTCCTCTGAAACCGACTAAATTCTCGCAATTAGTTCAAATTTCCGGTTTTTCTCACGGCACTAATGTTTGAACTCAAAATCAACACACTATTTACAAGAACGGACAATTATCTTTAAGTGAATTGATTGCTTGTCGGGAAGATATTTGAAACTTCTTAGTTTCTTGAGGGGTAGATAATAAAAATGCTTTTGTCGCTACTGAGTTTATTCGCAAAGGCAAATGAGAAAAGTTGCCAGAAAACATTAAAGAGGAAATGAGGAGTAAATTGAACGATAAGGAAGGCGAATTATATTTTTCTATTCTGAGTAAAATTAAGTACATTTTTCCCAAACCTCATGCTATTGCTTACACTATGACGGCCTGACGAACTGCTTTTTATAAATTATATCATCCGCAAGAATTTTACTCGGTTCTTTTAACCTATC